TCTAGCTCAATTCTGACAGTGGATTTGAATTCAGCAGAGTCTTTTACATAAAAATGTACTATTTGATGTGGAAATAAATTTTTTTCCAAATTTTCCCAGTAAATTTTCATCAATTTTCACTATTTTTCACAAGTTTTTTGAGGTTAGGAAAAAATTGTGACGTGATGGGCCAATTCTGACCCCAGATTCGTGTTCAGGAGGCCAAATTACTACGAAAAATATATGTCGCATAAAAAGCATACCCAACTTTTTTTTTTCTGTGTGGCTGTGTATTGGTCAAACACTCTTCTTTATGTCCGTTACGACGAATTTTATTGCCATTAGCTCTATGACACTGTCGCTAGAGTTAGATGATATTATTTACGCATTTCTGACAGTCCAGAATCCGGCAGATCTATAACTTTAAATTATTTTTTGTTTTAAGCCTGACAAAACAGTTTAAAGATGTCATTCTGGGGTCGCGACGAGGTTCAGAAAACTGTGAAACTAACCAAATTCTTTTTAATAACGGTTCTTTAATTTCCAATGAAAATAAGGATGGGTAGAAGCCATTAAGGTTGCTATTTCCTTTATTGTGCATTGGACAATCTTCTATATTATCTACTACGTTAAATTTATTGACTATTTATGAAGACTGCCGCTAGATGGCGATATTTATGCATCACTGATGGTACACATTCTGTCCAATTTATAGCTTGAGTATACGATTTGCAGTTAGTTATGTCCGTAAGTCATCGTAGAGTATCAATTCTAGAAAAAATGTACAGCAGGCGTTTTAACGCTCCTTCCTTCTGATGAGGATTCGAAAAAAATTCGAAACGACGCGTTTCCGCTTCCGAGCCCTTTCCGCTGGCTGCACCTCGCATTGTCATTTACTGGAATACCCTTCCCGAGGTCTCGCGTCTTACCCTCCTCGGCAGCTCATTACGTTTATGATTCGTCATCCAAGGAAGCTTCGGCGGCCATTGTTTGCCTCTTGAACTCGATGTTGCGGCGTTTCCGGGCGCCCGAGTGCCGTTTCCCGTTACGGGGATCAATTACATGATCGGCTTGTTTGTTTTGCCATTACTTGATGAAATCTATGCTGGCAGGTAAGCAGTCGGCCGCCCCCCTCCGCCCGAGAGACAGCCGGCGGAACGGTTTGTTTTATTTTTCCAGTCCATCTAGAGAAAAGCCTGGGCAGAGGAGACGTACACAAGGGTGCGTCGAATGTTCCCGGCAAATATGTCGCCGAGAATATCAGAAATAGCGGAGTAAGAGTGGATCGCAACGTGAAAATAATTTAAAAAATATGAGTTTCGTAATTTTCTTTGTCCTTCAAGTACAAAATAAAATAAAATAACATAAAAATGTGGTCTGTGACGTCATTAAGCGAAAATAAATTTCAAATCTACCGTCAACTGTAGTAATTTCTGGAATAGAATAATAACTAACTTTAAAAAAAATTCTTCTTCCTCTCCTGAACAGTCATAGTTAACCTTTCGGAAAATCGCTGTAACGACCTTTCCCTTTTATTAGTTTTGTTAGTTTACTTTTGTTTCTTTTCGTCTGCTTTCGTAGTATAGCTATAGTCTGTTTAGAAATGAAAGAGAGTAATAAAAGCTTATTATGTATGCAAATCGTAAATAAATGTAGTACTGGTGCTTATATTCAATATTTTTATATTATGCATTTTCGGTATAGATGAGGTGTACTTTTAAAAAAACTTTGTGCGATCGGACTGTACTAAATTGTAGCAGGTAGCTAAAATTTAATCCCCGACAATCCGTCTTTGTCTATGCCGCTTCAATTTCTCGGTCCATTTCTCTTATAAGTAAACAATATAAAAACAGCATTTCAAAACATGAGGCTACTTTAAGCATCATAACCGGGTTAAGAGGGTTTTTAGTAATTCAAATAAAATTATTCAATATTATTATCAAAATATTTATTTAAATTTAATGAATAGACTTTTATTCCACACAAAAATATATGTATTTTGAAAATTCAAATTATGGTGAGTAAATGTAGTGTTGTATAAATGTACAATAAAGAAAATAAAAAAGTAGGTATATTAAAATTCATCCTCTGAATATTCTGATGAATTATCTTCGTCTCCTAGATTGATAACGATAGGTTCCACAGTAACGTCAATTAAATTATCGAGTTCCCACATTTTCTCCTCTTCTTTTTGTACATGATGTATACATCTTTGCCAGTTATCTGCAGTTACTCGTTCCAAGGAATTTTTTAACAAAATTTTCACGTCACTTAATTTAAACGTCGTATTATTTCGCGCTACATCTCCTTTTACCTGCGCCCAGACTAATTCGATTGGGTTAAGTTCACAGTGATAAGGTGGTAACCGTAGTACCGTTATTTGGCGATTTGTTGCCATTTCATCGATAACATATTTTTTCTGATCTTTATTAAGATTGACAAGTGTCAAAAGTTCCTTTTTCACCATATTTGTTTCAAAAGAAATGTTTTTTCCGGATAACCATTGAATTATATCGGCTTTCCTCCAAGCAGTCGTAGGCGTCCGCTCGGTCTGCCGTGAATGGTAACTGGCATTATCCATGACAATTACAGACCCCGGAGGAATAAGATCCAACATCTGTGTAAAATACTCTTCGAAAACATCTGCGTTCATGTCTTCGTGATAGTCACCTGTATTTTTAGATTCAAATAAAAGTAAACCGCCATCTACAAAACCACTGGCACTACCTATATGTGTCACTATTAATCTTCGCCCTTTACCTGAAGGTGCCTTGAACCCTGTTGAAAGTCCATCCAAAAATGCTTGTCGAAAACTTTTTACATTTTTATCTTGCCATACTTTTGTTACAGTATATCCCTCGTTGACCCAAGTTTCGTCTAGATAATAAATATTCCTCCCTTCGTCACGGAATTTTCTAATTGATCTTAAGTAGGATCTTCGCCAACAAATAATTTCATCTTTATCGATAAGAACTGACTTCCTGTTCTGCTTTTCCCAGCAAAAATTCAACTCTCGTAAGACGGCCCATAATTTGCTTCTACTGATTTTTGGCAAATCGTTGTCCTCTGAAAGTTCACTTAAAATTTTGTTTAGCGTTGGTATTTCTTTTTTAAAATAAAATGAGTGTACTTTTCTGCGAATGACATTTTTGAAGAAATCATCTATAACGACTTTTGACCTCCCTGTAGATGATTTTGGGGGATTTACAGTATCTTGTTCATTTTTTGTTTCCTTGAAAAGTCTGTAGATAGTCGATTTTCCAATTCCTGTCATTTTTGTTAATATTAGTGTTACCTGATAATTACCTGAAACGAAATATTACCACGCCCATGGCCGGTTCTTATCTCGGGGTTTTATTACTCTCTTTCAGTTCCAAACAGACTATAGAGATATCATATTGAGTGGAATGACGTCACAACATGGCTTCCGTTCGTTTTCCCGAGCTCCGTTTTCATTAATTTACGAAAGTCCAGAACCAGAGACCGGATCTAGTGTACCTGAAGGACTTTGGTGCGCTGATTACGAATCCGAACTCAGAATTGGTCCATCACCCTAGGTTCTCGAGATATTCTAACCTAAAAATGCAAAAATCGCGGTTTTTCGCTATATTCGGGGTCAGATTACAACGTGAATTAATTTTCTTTTCTAAAATCGCGTTAAACCATCTCAAAGTACCACTCTTATCCTTCTAAGCGCACTTCGAATTTTTTTGGAAATCTTTTTTTTTTCCATAGAGATACGATAGATTGAAGTCTAGGTCTGGAAATTGTCGACCTGTATTATTTTGAGGGACATAATGTTAAAAAAAATCAGTAACACCACCAAGTAAATGTGTACCTTCTGAATATGAATTTAAAAATAGTTATCGACACCGATTTTGCGCCCGAGCGGAGTTTTTGGAACTAGAACATCCTGAAACAATATACAGCCCATTCATTCCGAATAACATCGGTAACGTTACTGGCTAATACAGGAGTTGATGTATTAGCAATCAAGAGACATGGTGGGTGGAAATCAGCCACAATTGCAGAAAGTATATTGCTGACAGTTTAAGTAACAAAAATGAAATAGTCAACTGTTTTAATGCATCAGTCAGATAATATTGAGCCTCCGGTAAGTGAAATGGAGCAGTCAAATAATTTTGAGAAAAATGTAACAATTAGTAAAAGCGAGGGGAACAATTATTCAGACGTTATAAATGTGTATAATTACTATAAATATTCTAATCAAAATACATGTTTAACATTCGTTATTTGTGGATTAGAATCTATTTTTTAATTTTTATCAGTGAAGTTTAGACTATATTGTTGTGTACATGTGAATTGGAAGATTATGACAATTATAGCCAACGTATTCTAGAAAATAACTGTTTAGCTACCTATTTTCCATTAATTAATTCTTTCCGCGTTGCTATCTATAAAAATTGGAAAAATTTATTTCTGTTAAAGTTTGTTGTGAATGCCTTTTTTAATCACAAAAAGGTCCGCCAGTAAATCGTACATTCCAGGTCCGTACTTTCTTTTAACATGACAGAATAAAAAATAGAGACATTCGTAGAAAATAAATTTTTTACATGTATAAATAAACCGAGCATTTTTTGTCAATAATTAAAAGGCAAGAATAAAAACAATATCTAATAATTGCCACTAATAGGCGTATCTGCCCAAATGTAATTTAATCTTATTCTGTCAACTGAAAAAAAGTCCTTCCGATATTTCCTGCAGTCTTCTGTTGTTCATTTAGTGAAGGTTAGAAAATTTTTAGATGTAGTTATGAAATTCAACAGGGGATTTTTGGAGGAATTTTTAAATGTATATCATTTAAATCCATGCATATGGGATATAAAATCCAAGTAATTTCATGACTGTTGATTTGCATGTTTATAAGCCACCTTATTCTTTCCTTTTTTTTTTTGTTGTTAAGAGGAATTATTTCTGAAAATTCATCATCATTAGATGTTGTCATTATCCCCTGGGGTAAGATCTGTAACACTACAAAACATATTTTTACCTCCTTTTTATTTATTTCATGATCTACATCCACCTATTAAACAAAAATAACAATATTTACAATTTCTTTAAGCATTAAAAATAAACACTATTATATACACATAGTGGCTATAGAAATAGGTAATGTAAATAAAAGTCTTTTAAGGGTATGTCCACCAATTCAACTATATTACGATAAAATACTTGCTCACGGTTGATCGGGACCTCCAGACGGCGCTCTCCTCGTGATCTCCTCGTTGGTCTGGCTGGACGCGACGACAGAGGGGTGGCCGCCAGAGGTTTGGGACTCCGCCGTCTCCACAGACCTGGGAATCTACACAAACAAAAGGTAAGTTTCCGACATTACCGCCTATAACACAAGACGTACATAATAAAGGCTGATTCATACTAGAACGAAGCCCAAAATTAAGCCTAAGGTTTCTTTATAACTAATTCTAAATTTTATTGCTGTTAACTGTAGCTAATGGCGCCATAAATAAATGAAACCACAATTTTTACAACTTTTACTACTAAGGCTGACCAGATTGACTTCTTGCGAGACCAAAATTGCCGAATTTGTAAAGATAATCTACTTTTTCACCAAAATTGACACACCTATTTGTTGTTCTACGTTTAATAATTTTTGGAACCCTCTAAAATGGTACGCCCATGGATTATTTTGGCGCTGGTAACGCTGAGATCGCCGGGTACTCACCGTCTGACTGGACCTGTTGGAGCTGACCGGCTGAGCCGAGGTACCGACCGTGGAGGACTCGGTGGTGTTGGTGGAGGTGGAGGTGGCGATCTGGCTGACAGTGGTGGAGGTCTGGGTGGTGACGGAGGGCCTCACGGCGGATATCAGTTGCGTGAACCGGGTCCTGATGGGTGGCGAAGTTGGCAGAGGTGCCGCCAACACCTCCCGCTGCTGCTGAGAGCTGCGCAGCAGGAACTGCTGGAAGTGGGCCTGTTGGAGGATGACGGGTAGCTCGTAGTGGTGGAAGAAGTAGACCATAGAGTGCTGGAACAAAGGAAAATTGAAGGTTAAAAGTAGAACCGTAATAATCTCGAACGTTTTCGGGGCCTGTAATTTGCAAATAAAAAACAACGGTATCTTACTAAAAAAAAATAGTATAAAGAAAGAAAAATATATAAATATAACGGAAAGTTTCATGCATTTTCCAAATCCGCAATAAAAGTAGCGGTTCCTGTTAACAAAACAACTTTGACCTTGAAGGTCGTGGTCAAGGATATGGTCAAGGTCATACTTGAACGTTAAATTTCCTGCTCTTTCTAAATCCGCAATAAAAAAAATAGGGGTTCCTATTTAAAAAATCAATTTTGACCTTGAAATTACCTTGAAGGTCAAGGTCAAGGTCGAATACAAGGGCGCCATTGAATAGCCAGGGAAAAATCCTAAAACTTTTGTATTTATAATTTTTCAAGAAAATGCACTCCTGGCGAGTTATTCAGGCGTTTCCATACTTTTGTGCTACCCTGTATAGGGTGTGCCAAAAGGAGTCGGTTCCCCGATTACGCTTCAGGATAAAAAAAGATTCAGATAAAAGTTGCAGGATTCCAAGAAAGCAATATTCTGATGACTTCGGACTTGACCTTGACTACAATTTTCAATGTCAAATCAAGGTCACCTTGAAAATATTAAATATCAATTAATAGAGCACCGAATATGGGGTTGAAGAAAATTTTTGTATGTCCTTGTAGATAATTTGAAGGTCAAACTTACTTTTGTCGAATAACTCGACAAAAATGTTCCAAGTAAAATTTGTAGGATTTTGAATGATAAATTAGGTGATGGGCTTGGATTTCACTTTCACCACAAGCTACAATGTTAAATGAAGATTTAAAATCAAATGGAATACCTCATTTTCTTGTTAGCAACCCATACAGTGCACTGGTTCAAAAAATTTTTCTAGGATTTCCTAGTTCTAAAAAATAGAGGTAACATTTAATATTTTCAGGTTGACCTTGGTTTGACCTTGAAATTTAAGATTGAAGTCAAATCAAGGTCACCAGCATATTGGTTTCTTGATATCCTACAACATTGAAACTTTTTTCGGATTCACTCCTGAAATGTTACCGAGGGTTTTTTTTAAGTCACCCTGTATGTAAAAATAAGACATTCCTAATAAATTTTTGAAAATGTTCAAAATTTAAGGGAGGGTGAAAAATAAGCCCACGAACGGTTGTTCTAAAGCTTCATAGAGTCCGTTTTCTTTAATGATAAAAATAAAGCTGAAATTGGACGTGCAACAAAACGTTTTTTTTTATATGTGACAAGTATGGATCACTACAGCAGCTGCTTGTTTGATTTTACAAGCACAATTTCCCTTTTTCTTAAAACGATGCCAAAATTCTCGTTTAATCGAACATTTTGCTACAAAGAAAATCAATCCCTGAAACGTCTGTCATAAATTTACTATTACTGTCATATTTACGTTAATCTACAATGTACGACTATAATATGGCGAAAATGCAATGAAAATGCACGTATATACTATGTAATTATTATAATTTAGTTCGACTTACCGTACTTCTTTCCCCACCGATATTTGTACGTCAATCTGACATTACTTACGAACAATTTGAATGTCTTAGTTTATAGTCTATTTCGCATGAGCTTACCAGCATACCAGGTATGTCATTTCTTCTGTATTTATTAACTGCAAAACTTGAGACAACATACTCAAATATTTTGTAAATCATCGGTAAGCTCATTCATTTAAATATATGTTTGTTTTCTAAATGAAAAACATTAGATTGCAAGGACAATTTTATTATGAAAAAAAATTTTTCATTTGGAATAAAAAATGCTGCAAAATATTTCATTTAATCGCTCATTATATATCATTGGTTTAAGTTTATGGGGTTAAAAGAAATAAGAAACCTAACATGTCCGTATGTATGTAAATTAGACTAATTATAATGTTAAAATTTAATTAGTGCATTTACAGATGTCTGCAACATTGTGTATGCTTTATAGCTGTTTGACAATTTATTGATCAATTAATTCATGAAGTCGCTTCATCAAGAAATTGGACAAGTGTAATGCACCAAATCAGCTGTCAAATAACTTCATGAATTTATTCATCAAGTTTTTGACGAATTAGAGCATGTTCTAATTTTCGTCAATTTCTTCGTGAAGTTCAGAAGTACCAGCCCAACAGATTTCCAGCCTTAGATCAGTAATAAGGTTATGTTATTGGAATAAGTAAATAACTGTTTGGCGTCGTACTAGTTTTGCATTGTTTTTACTAATTTGTTACTTACAAAAACTAATATTTATGTATTTAATATATGTCAGAACTGTACCGCTGTTCATACATTTTTGAAATGTATTTGCTTCTTTGATTCATTGGTAGAACTAATTCATACGTCAAAAAACTTGACAGTCTGTAGCAGTGTAAAACCACACTGCTTACCAATAAATTCGTGAATTAATTCATGAAGAACTTCATCAATTTATTCATGAATAAACTGTCAATGTAAAACAGCTATTATTCCTGACATAACCTAACTTTATATTATACTGACCTAACCCAACATTATGTAGAAATCTATTTATGTAAAGTTAGGTTAGAAAATTTGTGCTGCAAGTAGCGTAAAATGCAGTATGTTGCATCTAATTATTATCAGAAATACCCATTAGTCGAAAACTGCAAGGTAAAAAGTCAATTTCCTGCTGTGTAATTTATTTAATTTTCCGCTCCTACTAATTTTACACGTAAAATGGCGCTCCAGGTGCTAATGGGATATATAATTTAAGTGCATATATAACTACTGAAACTGTACGAGTATAATGCAGGCAAATCCAAAATACCTAACGAAAATTGGTCAACAAACGAAAAATTCTAGCGGATATACAGGATGTGTCTTGGGTGGAGGGCAGTTTTTTTTAGGAGACCGCGTTTACCAGATACCAAAATCAGATTTTTTTTTATCACAATGTAGGGCCTTTAAATCGCAATTTGATTAACTTGCCTGAATTTTTTATACAAGTTAGTTAAAGGTATATAATAACAATAAGTGACAGTATTTTTTTTTTCAATCTCCGGCCAGGGGTGAAAAAAGATAAAATAAAGGGTTTTTTCAAGATAACTTAAAAGGGGTGAGAGCTAGAAAAAAAATTTCTTATAGAAGTTGTATGGCCTAATTTCTACATAAAAATGTTTTTCTTGTACTGTTACAATTCGTTTTCTAAACAGCACTTAAATTTTTATTCACGCCGCCACTGAGGAGCTCTCGAATTTGATTGCATGTGCATGCCGTGTGCGCTTATCAGTATTGCCAGTTGTTTTAAGTCAACGGTATGAAATTAAAGAAATTGCAAAAATGGAAAAAGCTGTAAATAACACAGCCACACAAAAAAAAGTTGTATGTACTTTTCATGCGACATATGTTACCCGTAGTAATTTTGCCTCCTGATCACGAATCCGGTGTCACAATTCAGCTATCACATTACAAGAATTTCCTAACCTTAAAAAACAGGTCAAAAATAGCAAAAATTCACGAAAAAGTGCTAGGGAAAATACAAAAAAATTTTCTTTTATGTTCAAATGTTCATTTATATGGTTAAGACCCCACTGAACGAGAATCCGCGGTAAGCATTGATGGTTCTTTTTTTAACCTCAAAAAAAACGGATCCATTAAGGTCAGATATCACAAATTTTCAAAAAATAACAGATTCGCGCAAAATTTGGTATACGGGAGTTTTCGGGGTCGCTGATCACGGATCCGAGGTCAATTTTACAAAATTCAAGATGGTGGCCGACCAAATTTTTAAAAATTATCACATTCGCGCTAAAGTTGGTATGCGAGGGTTTTCGGGGTCACTGATCACGAATCGAGATCAGATTTACAAAATTCGTTTTTAAAAATTTAATTAATTACCTATGTACTTTATTACCTGAGATTAGGCAGAAAACCCGTGAATAGATCTTTTACAGAAAGAAGAATAAGATATAGCTGTAAAAATGAAGGTTAAAACATGATTGGGTACTCAGTTATAAAGTAAACAAATATATTACAAAATGAATACAATGTTGACCTCGAATTCGTAATCAGCGACCCCGAAAACCCCCGAATACCAAATTTGGAGCGAATCTGTTATTTTTTGAAAATTTGGTCAGCCATCTTGGATCTGCCATCTTGAATTTTGTAGAACTGACCTCGAATTCGGAATCAGCGACCCCGAAAACCCCCAAATTTGGAGCGAACCTGTTATTTTTTGAAAATTTGGTCGGCCATCTTGAATCCGCCAGATTGAAATTTGTAGAATTGAACTTGGATCCGTGATCAACGATCCCGAAAACCCCCATTTAATAAATTTGGCGCGAATGTGTTATTTTTTGAAAATTTGGTCGGCCATCTTGGATCCGCCATCTTGAATTTTGCAAAATTGGCCTCGGAACCGTGATCACCGCCCGCGATAACCTCCGTAAACCAAATTTGGCGCAAATCTATTATTTTTTGAAAATTCGTGATATCTGACCTTAATTGACCCGATTTTTGAGGTTAGAAAAAGAACCATCAATTTTGATCGCGGATGTGAATCTGGGCCATAACCATATAAATGTACATTTCAATATAGAAAAAAATTGTATTTTTATGTTTTTGTGTGTATGTTTATGTTTTTGTATTTTTCCTAGCGCTTTTTCGTGATTTTTTGCAATTTTTTACCTGTTTTTTGAGGTTAGGAAATTCCTGTGATGTGATAGCTCAATTCTGACACCAGATTCGTGATCAGAAGGCAAAAATACTACGCATGAAAAGTACAGACAACTTTTTTTTTGTGGCTGCGTAATTTTGTAAAAACAAACCTAGTTTAGATGAAATATAAAATTGGACGCAGCTATGACGTGTTCATAAAAACATATAAGAGCAACGAAATTAAACCGCTAATGATACGCACGAAATTAAAACTATTATATGAAAGCGCGTCATCAGCGGACCAATAGTTTCATAGCCAAGTGCTTGATCGTCAGTTTATCGGTAAGGAAGACA